ACCGTAATTACACAGCTACTAATTAATTTGAAAACATTTAACTGATTTAGGTCCATTGATACATTTAAGAAGTATACATATGTGATATTAAAAAGAGGACTGAAATTCATAATAAATATTTAAGATTTAGATTTGACCTAGCATTTACACCAGTAACTCAAACGTGCTTTTAATAATATTCTTTTAAATATCAAAATAAAACAAAACCATTTCTTACCAGTTAGATATCATGGATGCCAATGAACACCTACATCCGAAGTTTGGCACTTTTAATCATTCAGAATGGTGTGTATTCCTAACAAAATACTGAAACGTGTACAACTTCAATTCAAACATTTCAAAATGGGCTGGCAAGTTCTGTGTTTACCTCAGTACAATCTGCATTTCATTGGCTGATTTGACTTGTTTACTATTCTTACGAACTTCCTGTAAACATTCGAATAATGAAATGTGTCCTGTGAACTTGCTGAACATTAAATTGGCATGAAAGTTTCTTACTATGTTCCTGCAAACATGTTGGGCTGCAATGTTTGCCGCAAGATCGAAGCTACTGGGAATCATCTGCGAATAAGAAAATTTTCTTCCTACGAACAATTTTGTTTGCTGCAAGCTTGCAGTAGACTTGCTGCAGGCCTGCAGCAAACATATCAGTTGGTAAATGAGATTTATTCAAAATTCACAGAATTACTGTTGAATGTATGAAAATTTCCAATCTGAGGGATGTGATCGAAGATTTATTTATTATAAATATACATAAACGAATGATGAGTGATTTTCTAAAATCTAAAGATAAAAACATTTTTATCTCAACAAGTAAAAATTTAAGCTTCTTATCAATTTACCAATTTAATCAAAATTTTAATAATAAAACTGACAATTTTAGACAATGTTTATACTTAATATATACAGTACCGACCGGACACAACCTAACACCAGAGCGAACCCGGAGCGGACCCCGGGTTCGCTTCCCGGGTTCGCTCGGGGTCCGCTTCGGGTTCGCTTTCAGAAATTTTGGGACCGCTCCGGGTGCGCTTTGGGTGCGCTCCGGGTTCGCTCCGCGTTCGCTCGGGGTCAGCTCTGGGTCCGCTAGAGCGAACCCGGCGTTCGCTTCCTGGGACCGCTTTACGCACTGATGCGTGAAGCGGACCCCGCTTTAATCTCACCGCCAGTAAGCCCCGCCCCTTGTATATTCCAATACAGTAATGGTATTGTGGATCGATCATTGTTGTTTATGCGACGATGCGGACACGTACACTGACATGTAAACAGTGATATAATGGAGAACATTGATAAATTTTCTAAAATTCAACTGTACATTCGACATAGATTTACATGATTTCCTTGATTTCTCGATCCCGAGAAATTCAAACTAATTTAACAGCGGGTTATAAGGCATTTATTTTTCTTAAGTTATAACGAGAAAACAAAAAAAAGAGGAAGAAAAGAGTGTTGAATTGATTTTCAGTATAGCGAATGGTGAAACTGACGAAAGAAATCTAAACTAAATACCTTTTGAGTTCATGATTTATATAGGTTTTACATACATTTGTTATTCCTTAAGTTTTGCTAAATCGTAGTTTCAATGTTTGCTTAACACGTGAATTATGATATCGCATCTATAAATTACATGTGTAACCTTTTGTACATCTGATATATTTAGATTTAATTTATAGTAGTTACATATTAAAAGTTCATAATAAATATTTACAGGACATTTTCTAAAAAAAAAACTTACACTGTTTATTAGATCTTTTTCATGGTCAGAATTTTGGAGCGAGTATGATTTTTATCAGAACAAAGATAAAGGCAAATAATAATTGTTCTCCCGACCCGATAAAAATATATTAGTATATGCCCCCTATTTCACACACATTGTCTTTAAAAAATTCTATTTATTTAATTATTTTATTTATAATTTCTCAATTTACGTATTACATTAAATTATTCAAAATTTACATTAAAATTATTTATCTTCTTAACCTTCTTGATCTTCTTGGGCATGAAAAAAATGCGTGTATATGAAAATCTTCCTTCTGGATGCACAGATTGAAGTCATTCCGCCCTAATGGTATAGACAAACTGAATGACTTCACCAGAATGAACGTGAATTAGACCCAATTCCTAATGATACTTAACAAGATTATTCTTTCAATTTAGTGTAACCAACTCTCGAATAACCCACATAACTACATGTATGTATTGCTTACGCCTTTATTAATTAATCTTTCCCAATAATTAGTCCAAAAACATTTCAAAATTCATAATAGATCATAATTCATATGTTAAAATATCCCTTCTATATTATATTTCTGTTGTTATTCTTTGTCAAGTTATAGCTACGCCATTTTGAGAGAATGAAACAATGTACGATTTACTAAATGTCGTGATTAATTAGCATTATTAATTCGTTCAATAATGTAAATTGCACTTCACCTGAGTAACCCCGATAACCAAGACGTATTTCATAGAGGTCCGGATTTTTTTCTTTAACAGTGTTTATATAGATTTTCAATTCAACATGTAACTATGTAAATATATAGTGTTTAGTACATCATGTAGTTCTCTCTCTCTCTCGTCTTGATGTTTCCTGTATCTATATTTAAATATTGGGCACGTTAATATTCCTGAACTGTAAGTATCTTGAGATGATGATTTTACAATAATTGTCGAAGACCAACTAAATTTCTTTTTGTCAGTAAAAATTGCAATATCAATTGACTTCTATTTTTATTCATCGACTGATGTATTTACCAAATTTATTTACCAAATGGACTTTAAATACTGGCATAAAAAACTAATAAAAGAAAATAAAAACGTAAATAGTCGTGTATAATTCTACGTAAAATATTAAAACACATAATTGATTAATTACTTTAATAAAAAAGAAAATAAATATATAAATATAAAATACAACCCGGAGAATTAAAATGAATAAATATTAAAGAATATCTTTATTATTATAATAGATTTACACAGCACATCCATACGTTTTGCTTGTATGTAGTGTTTGGATTTATATCGAATTAAATCAACACGTTCGATCTTGATATACCAATCGACTGATCAATATGCTATTTTGATTGGTTGATGCGCTGATTGGTTAATCGCTAATCCTGATTGACAGCTCTGTAAATAAATACCGAACCCGCGTTCGCTCTCTGGGACCGCTACTGAATTTGGGGTTCGCTCTCTGGGTCCGCTTCGGGTTCGCTCGGGGTCCGCTACGGGTTCGCTTTGGGTCCGCTCCGGGTTCGCTCGAGGTCAGCCCTAGCGGACCCCAAGCGAACCCGGAGCGGACCCAGAGAGCGAACCCGGGGTCCGCTCCGGGTTCGCTTTCTGTTAGGTTGTGTCCGGTCGGTACTGTACATGTACATATATCTTGCAATGTATACTCATGTTTTACAATAGTGACATGCATGCATTATGATATACCTGTATGATAAAAAGGGTTTACCACAATGAAGTTTTATTGATTTATTTTCTCGATAATTCTTTTTGAGGCACGTGCCTCCAAGGTTACACATTAAGATTTTAAAAAATTATTTATTTTTTTTAATTGCAATCTTACATGTTGATAGGGGATGGATAATTTTTTTTATTTCATCAGCCGATAGAATTACATGTATATGAGCTCATCTTCAGCCTGCTTCTTAAATGAATATCAAATATGATGGTTCATGCAAAAATGTTTGCCTCCTACTTTTTTTTTCAATTCGCAATATAATTATGTGGATTTTTAAGTACCTTGTATTTTGGCATTCATGGCCTGGGAGGAACATGAAGAATAGTCACGAACTTTATCTGGAATTGTAAAACAGTGTTAATCCATAAAAGACGGTTCAACTGTTCACTCTACTTTTTTAAGAACTGTCCGTCGTATTTTTTCATTACATGCATAAACATGTGCATATAAGCTGCCATTTTCTATATGCTTCCTCAGCCGCCATCCTGACAAATATTGATTACAGTAAATATTAACAGGATTGAAAGTCTGAACACGGAACGAAAACTTATTATTTGAAAGGATATTCAAATATAACATGAATTCCTTGAACATGTTTTCGAGTCAACACAAAAGAAAAACAGAAATTTAACAAATCTCAGGATAAAATTCTAAATATTAAAACGACTGTAATTATTACAAAGAACATTGAAGTCATAATACCAGTTGTAAACAATGGAGTCGCTGTATTTATCTCCTCAGTTGTTGAAGTGTAGGAAGTTTTCCTTGTTGTAGATGGTAAAAGATCTCCATCACAAGATACACTTAGTACTGCTGACAAATCAGCTAAAAGATAGGAAAAAAGTAGTTAAAATGAGGTTTATATTATGAATTAAATCAAAAGTAATGAAATAATGTACGACATATTGATTGAAATTATCCTGAAAACACGATGCTTTACATTCAACGGTTAATAATTTCTCCTCATTCAGCGTACTTCTGAAGTGTGATACAACCAAGTACTATACAAAGATATATACCTAACTCATGTTAATTTAACGTACCTGACTCAATAGATAAACAGTATCTTGTGTCGGAGGCTAGTTGTGGATTTTCGATAAGAATATCAACATCTGATCCATTAATTGGAAGCTGTCTGCCAGTCACAAAGCAGTTCATTGACATGCTAGTACCACCAGCTAGAACCATTACAGTACTCCCACACCCTATCCCAGGATGGACGCCGTTATAGTTGGTAAGGTTCAGTGTACTAGGTTTATCACTGGTGAGTCTACATTTACAGTATGTGGTACTAGAGTCTTTGGCTCTGTATGCGTCAATGACGATATTATGTCCAACAATCTGGTAACTGTAGCACATCAGGGCTACTGAAACGATTGAGTATTCGTATTTCATTGCCTGTGTAGAGATGACCAATCTTAACATAAAACTCTAAAATGTTCGTCATTTTACCTGGAACCGAGTTCGCTTTGGCTAGTAAGTAACAGGGAGAGTAACAACTCACTGGATCTGAAATTGATTTTAAACTTAATCTGTTATTAGTTTAAATATTTTATGCAATAATATTATATTCTCTAAATATACAGTAGATTGAGTCTTTTCTAATAAACTTAGTGAAATAAGTATTACATTCATATAAATCCTAGATACTAGTACCAATAAATGGCCATATATATAATTTTTTGTTATTTATTTGTGAAAGGTGATGACTTGAAATAAGATAAGAATGCCTAGCTAGACTTTTAAAAATTGAAAGAACCTTATTCGGTAATAACCAATATTTGCCCCCCAAAATCAAACTTTGACGGAGAAATATTTAATTTTGTTCTTAAACAGGGGAATATATGCTGACTTCAAAACACTGAATATTTTCATTAGCAAGGACGTCATATGTTTGTAATGACATCACGAAAATGACGTAAATTTAAAATTTCCATGATTTGTACAGAAAAATGTATATTTTACGTCGATATTTTGAGTAAAAATCACCGAGCGCAGATTTGTTCAGGCTTAATATTTTCATATTATGTGTAGAATGATAATATCAATAAAATGTATAAATATTATTCCTGAACAAACTTGCGCTCTATAACTCTTAAAGCTAAAAAAATTGTTGAAATTTTGTCCATTTTGTCCTCTTTCTAAAAAATGACAAAAAATCGAACTAGTTTATGACGTCATAAAAACAAAAATTGTCAATAAACTACTTTGAAACTATAATATGATCTGTTAATTTATATTTCTCATACAATTTATAAAATTCAGCACATATCAAGAATTTTTCAAAATTTGACTTTTGTGGGGGCAAAGATATGCAATATACCGCATATAGTTCTTTGGTAGAAAAAATAATTATAATGTTTTATATTTTAAGGAAGCACATAGTTTACCACTTTTATAAGTTAAAAACATGTGAACAAATTCTGGAGTTTGAGAACAATCACATGAATTACTGAAAAGCACTGTAAATATTCAAAAACTTTTGATGTTATATAAAAAGATTATTTTCGTAATTTTTTAATTGGCTGCTGAAAGAAGTCACGTGATATAAATCCTCTTTTTTAATGTCGATGCGCAAGCGCTAATGTTGGACTTTTACGAGAAGCACTGACTTTTACAGTTGACGGTTTACTTGGACATTTAAACTTGTACCATTTACGGAAGTACAGAATTGATAATGCCTAAGAAAACCTTCCTAGTGGTCATAAGTATGGGGTTAGGGGCACTAACATGTAAAGACCGGGAGTTGAGGGTAGGGTGGTTGTCGTTTTCTTCAAAGACAGCTTATATGTGCATTAAAATAACCTGTTCTTTTCGTTTAATTAATATGTTTATCATGAAAGAGCTACCTTACATTGCCCTAGTGTAAAAGTAAGCCGTCAACTGTAAAAGTAAGCGCTCTTCGTAAAGGTCCATTGATATTGACCTAGGACACAGAAAATGCATGATCGCGACCTCGCGGGCTCGGTCAATATCACTCTCTGTTTCTTCGGTCAATATTAATTGCCATGAGTCCTTATAACCACATATCGACCTACACTGAAGTCCATAATTGTATAATATACATGCCAATTACTATACAAATCAAAATACAATAAAACCTATCAGATAATCAATTGTAAAAAAAAATAGTTTACAATTTCTAAGCATTACTCGAAATATCTCATGTCGGTGTATTATCGTTTGGGTGTTTAATGCTACTTGCAGTAGCAATAGAATCTTAATAATATTGCAGTGTGCATAATCACTAAATCCACAATTAACTTTGTTTGATATTATGTTTAATAAATTTGCTATTTCAGAAATAATACAAAAAATATATTCAGTAGTTTATAGTTAATTTGTGTGTGTGAAGCAGTTAGCATATCTGGGTTAAATCGTGCCAAAAGCCGGTTAAATACACGGAGAGCTATGAGTCCAGCTGAAAATGGTTGGATACATGACCTAGATAAGAATTAAGGACTTAATATGTAAAATTATTCAAATATTAATTGATTCATATTGTAGATTTCCAATGATGTTCATGATTTTCCTTAGTTGTTGCTCCTCTCTGTTTCTTAATAAAAGAAAAAAAAAATAATTTTGGCCATAAGGATTAATTAATAAACAGTAATGACGATATACACAGTTAACACATTACCTATGTTGGATATAACCAGAATCTAAGGGTTGGTTAAACAAAGGTTTATTCACACTAAATACTTCCAAGGTTCTGTATACATGTGTACATTGTCTTTTACCGAGTCTTTTCGTATACAAAATACATGTTTTTGAAACCAACAAGAATATATGCGCATATCATAGCTCTTACGCTCATTGTATTCCTCGACTTGTCAACGGACTTCATTGTTTAGTTATATTGATGATACAAGAAAACATAGATTATGTACATACCAGACGTAAAGATTAGACTACCAATAATCCACAAGATAACATTCCTTATGTCCGCCATGCTTCATGGACTAGATGACATAGCAGTTAAAAAGAAATATATCGCTTTCATTGCGTTATATGCACTTAAATATGATACCACGTGCACTGTGTTACATTTCAAATAGATATTTTCTTGTTATTTTTAAATTTGGAACTGAATAAATGTATATTTTCTTCTTTGAAATTGTAAATACATGTATAATCAGAAACCTCTACGAACTGAGATAACACCTTGAGATGGATACTGTGTGGCATAAATACTTGAAATGAACCCCAAGTAGTCAACCACAAATTAAAACGGTAATTTTTGGATAAAACTCAAGCTATGTATAGCTTGAAACATTTAAATGAAGAAATGCTTTTGAACTTGCAAGAACTATTGACAGCAATTTGCGAAGATTGTGAAAATGTTTTAAATGCTTTGCTGACACCAGTACTAGGAGTTATATTAAAGCACCTATATAGCTCTAAGCATTTTTAAAAAATTTCTTTAGGAGATATTCGTGGGAAAAGGGATTTTGAATAGAGATAGGCAGATACATTACAATATGCATATAATCTAAACTTCTGCAAATTTTCCTTTTTTGCAGCGATTCCCAAAATTCATCTCCAGATAAAAATACCAGTCATAAACAAATTTCTTTACTAATATCCGAGGATATTTCTTTATTTCCTGATCATGATAAGGAGCACATGGCGGGTGTGACCGGTCGGCAGGGGATGCTCACTATTCTATAGCACCTTATCCCAACTCTTATGTTTGGAGATCCGTATTTGCTCTGCTTCTATTTCGTATTGTTTTATGGACTTTTGATCATGAATATTGTTCGTTATCTCCATATGTATCATTCTATTTTATGTAAGATAAAGTATTGAAATTTGAATGGAAAACGGCTTGTTGCATTAGTATGAATGTTCAATTTTATATTTTTTTTTAAATTTGAAAGTGAAAACAACTAAGATTATCTTTAAGAAACTATTTATTTGCCTCCTTCCGACGACTCCCTAGAACAACTCAATTTGTTAAACTACAGAAAAGAATTATTTTTATTTATCATATATTTTACATCCCATTAATATCTTATTTAACTTTATCTTGCAATTGTTTTGAGTTTTAAAAGATCGACACTAACCATCAACCAAAGTCTTTTTTTCTGAAATGGTAGAGGACAGAGAAACATTTAAATATGGTCTACACATATTTCTTAGTGTAATATTCCAAGACATTTGATAAGAAACCGTGCTTGAATTTCGATGACATTAGTAGTCAAACTTTTTTTTCCATTTCAGCACGTATTATACTTTACGCATCATTAAGTACTGAAACATATTCATTATAGAGATTTTTAATGAAATTTTTAATGAAAGAAGCTGATATATTGTGCTTGGAAATAACGTTAAATAACTATAACATAAAACTTTCACTACCATTAATCGTCACTTTTATAAGAGATTGTGGTGAATCTTGATTACTTCTCTTTGATCTGAAACCAGTCTGGGAATTATGCTTTTTATTTTGCTGTACACCATTTTGTTTGACCCCTGCCTTAGGATAATGTCTATCCATTTTCAGTCGCTGTGTTTCGGCACTATTTGCATTAGTTCTAGAGATTGGTTGGTCCTCATAAAAGAAAAACTGAGGTTCCTCTTTCATTTTTTCAAAAGAGCGATTATCATATACAGATTGTTGAGTATCAGCTTCATATGAAGACAGGATCCCAACATTCTGCATGGAGCTATTAAAGTCTTGTCTTCCTTTCAAGTCTCTCCGATTTCTATAATTAAATCAAAATAAAAATAAATTCATAGATAAAATATGGATAAAATTGATTCCTTAAGTTAATTCTAAAGTTTAATACCTTTTGCAAAGAATAACTGCGATGACAAGAATCCCGAACAGAAGAACTCCACTCACTGGTAAAACAGCGTACAAAACTGAAAATAAACATAGATCCTTTACACAGCGTACAATACTGTAAAGATACAGAGATCCTTTACACAGCGTACAATACTGTAAAGATACAGAGATACTTTACACAGCGTACAATACTGTAAAGATACAGAGATCCTTTACACAGCGTACAATACTGTAAAGATACAGAGATACTTTACACAGCGTACAATACTGTAAAGATACAGAGATACTTTACACAGCGTACAATACTGTAAAGATACAGAGATCCTTTACACAGCGTACAATACTGTAAAGATACAGAGATCCTTTACACAGCGTACAATACTGTAAAGATACAGAGATACTTTACACAGCGTACAATACTGTAAAGATACAGAGATCCTTTACACAGCGTACAATACTGTAAAGATACAGAGATACTTTACACAGCGTACAATACTGTAAAGATACAGAGATACTTTACACAGCGTACAATACTGTAAAGATACAGAGATCCTTTACACAGCGTACAATACTGTAAAGATACAGAGATCCTTTACACAGCGTACAATACTGTAAAGATACAGAGATCCTTTACACAGCGTACAATACTGTAAAGATACAGAGATACTTTACACAGCGTACAATACTGCAAAGATACAGAGATACTTTACACAGCGTACAATACTGTAAAGATACAGAGATACTTTACACAGCGTACAATACTGTAAAGATACAGAGATACTTTACACAGCGTACAATACTGTAAAGATATACATAGCCTTCAAAACTGTAAAGATAAAGGGGTACGTTTCACAGCATATAAAGTGTAAAAATAATTTGGATAAAAAACACAGCGTCAGTAATGTAAAGAAACAGAGATAATTTACATGGTGTATTTTCTTTATCTTCACTCTTAAAAATTATTTTTACTCATATGGAGACGCCACCACTTGCCGGTGTAGAGCTGCACATTTTGTTCTATACTCGGCATTTACGGCCATTGAGCAAAGCTGCAGGGATATTGGGATGATTTATACAGCATACAAAAGTGAGAAAACGTAGAAAGCTGTTTAAATATAATTATAGTTTGCAGCTAACTGTAAAGTTTTACCTAACGTAACGATCTTTTCGGCAGATGCATCCAGCGTAAACAATTCACGTGATTGGTCAATTCAAATTATCAACATTGACACGGAAATATTCTATTGCACGAGCAACCAATCAAGGATAAGAAGAAAGTTCCAGTCGGAAAGCTTGCGGTTAGGGGACGTGTACAATTTACCTTGAGCGCAGCTGTCAACTAGATCGTGACGTAACGTGAAACTTTACAGTTAGCTGCAAACTATAATATTAAAAAAGGGATAAGATGCCAGAGCAAACAGAAATGTAACGATACATGCAGTGCTAACACATTGTACAACGATGAAAGAAAGTTATTACACCCTACAAATATGTTAACAAACAGGGATAGGTAACATAAAGAAGATACTAGGATGGTTGAAAAACTGATATAAAAAAACTACCAGGAATAGTTTTTATTACATATAATCCTCTACAAATAGAAAATAAATCTCTGTATTATGAGAATTATTCTAATTGTGTTAGCTATCTGAAGATTCCTGTGTAGTTTAAACCGTGTACAAAACTGTTAAGAAAAGGGGTAGTAAAAACAGTTCACAAAACCGTGAAGATGTGGCATTCTACAACGATTATTGTAAACATCAAATGAAACTGCCGGACATTATTCTCCAATAAATCACGAACGTCATCAAAAAATTATCAGATCAGAAACACGTATCAACCTTGAACAATTCAATTGCATGTTTGGCTGTAGAATGAAATACTTGTTTAGACCGCACCGATGTGTCGTCATTTGCAGTATAAACACTGTAAATTGCATCAAGTTGCTGATGAAGGTCGGTTTTTATAGCTAAGCGGGCTATTCCACGGACCTCCCTACACATTTAAACAACGTGATTTTAGTAAAACCGAAACATGATTTTGTTTCCGCATCTATTCATTAAAACTTATCAATACATATTACGAACAAATTTGTAATTCAAAAAGGCTATATTTAATGCAACGAAAGCTCAAATCGTCTGATTTCCATACATAGGTAAGTAAACAAAATTTCGCTCTGGTGTTAAATGGAACAGCGTTATCGAGACATGGTGACCTAATTCATTTCTCTATAGAGGAACCGATCAGCCGTATTTTAGCATGTTAAGCGATCTTTGTAGAATAGAAATAAAGTCCTTGTTGTCGTGAATGATGCAAGATAACCTCCTCGGTCTCGAAATGTTGTTTTAAATATATAAGTCTGGGCTAACGAGGAGGTTATCCTGCAGCATTCATGAAAACGCGGACCTTATTTCTTAAATATATAATATCAGCAGAGTTGGATATCCAACTGATCAATTTTAAACATACAGTCAATATGATTCCTGAAAAATATTCAGAAAGGTATTTTACGAATATTATCATAGGGATTGTCTATTATGAGTGAAAAAGGAGATAAAGATATGGACCTTTCTTAACGCTTGATAATAATAGAGTCATACAAATGTATTTTCTAATACGAGTACAATAAGCTAAAGATTTCTGAATTTATTTTTTTTTTCATGTTTACTTATTGAGCATCTTAATTTTAAGTTAAAAATGATTAAATGATATTATGCTGGGGGAAAATAGATGATTAAGTTTTTGAGAGTACCATTAAAATCTGTAGAATGAACAACTTCCAATGTCAATGGTGGCGTAGTTACAGTCTCCGTCGACATCACTGGAGTCGTCGATATGGAATCTGATGATGAAGACTGATTTATTTCTGTCGTGGAGGAGTATTGGTTCGTAGTGGAAGCTCTGTCTTTCGCCGTTGTTTGGTATGTTTCTGATGTCACTAAAGTAAACTTTTCAGTTGTAGTAAAATTCTGCACATCGACAGATTTTGTTGTTTGGTGTATTTCTGAAGTACTATCATAGTTTATAGTTGTAGTAATTTTCTGTTTTTCAACAGTTTCCGTCGTTTCTGATCGGTTCTTGATATCAATTGTTGTACTAGCAAGAAAATAATCTGTGGACTTGCTTGCTGTTGGGTTGTCTGTTGATATTACAGGCTCGTTCGATGAAGACGCAATTAAAGTTGTTGACCCTGATACTGTTGACATGGATGTTGGTGCTGTTGTGAATATGGTTGATAAAGCATTGTTTGATGTGCTCCATTGTTTAGTGTCTTGAAAATTTGTTGAGAGTTCTGTTAGAGATGAAGTAGAAGTTGAGGGAACTCTGAATTCTCCAGGACTGAAGCATTGAGCACTGAGTGTTGCTTGCTCTGTAATTAAAGCATGAAGAATATTTCATGGATATATTCTATTGTTATTCTGTATTAAAGTTGTAATTGTTGTATAAATCATGTATATGAAACACATTAAATAATATAATAAATGTCAAAATAGAAAGAGGGGAAAAGAGAGAAACCAATAGCAACTCTCTTGAATTCTTAAAGAAAATACTACAGTCGATCAACTCAATATTTATCTTTTTTTAAACTAGGATTGTTTATAATAACCATTTCCTATTCAGTACATAGGAATCTTGAACAGAGCATGGCTCTTACAACAATTAGATATAAAATGACGTAGGTATTAATAATGCACTTTATTTTACTATGTATGATTTGATTCAAAAACATTTAACATAAACGCAAAATTCATTCCTGTATTAACAAAAGAAATTATTTTATTGCCTGATCCTTTCCTGGTGTGCTTACCGAATCTCAATGAGAAAAGGAAACAGAACCCAGTGGACCAGGTCTGTGATATATTGCTTAGCGTTAGAGTGATACTAGAGTGCCTGGGTAAGTGATACTCGGTATCCACGACGTGGTGACAATGGATGTCACGGATCTCCTCCTGTGTATCGTTTGACAGTTTTACTTTCAGTCCACAGTTGGCTGTCGGTAATAGAGAGGTCTCCTGCTTCATGTAGAGTACGGAGGTATTGTATGTACTCAATACCTTGATCTCACACATGCAATGACTTGATACGCTCTCATCACGGGGAAGGTATGCATCAAGAATTAAAAAGGTATTTGATTCTTTCATGTTGTCTGTGCAAAATGATAGAACTGCAAAGAAGGTAAAAAATGTAATTAAAGAAAAATATTTATACATCTGCCACCATGACTTAGAAGCATACATGTTTATCGACTTTAGGTCATAGTTAATTGGCATTGAATTTATATTAAATGCCTTCCTGGTTCGTGACAATTACCTTACCTGGTAAAGACCTCTCCTGTGCAAGTCCCTGGCATCTGTTTTCATTTGTATTTCCTAATTTACCTATGGAAACGAAGTAAAATAACGTAGTCAGTGGTATCAATATCTCTTTCCAATTAGACACAAGATTTAAATAATCAAGAAATTGTGTCAAACAACCGACATACATGTAAAAAGTGCGTAAGTGTTATCATATGTAATGACATGATTCACACCGAAATATGAACAAGTAATTATGATACATGTAACAGTCATATCTTCTACAGGTTTAAACATTTGGATGCCAACTATTTCTTTTCAATTATTCACCAATTTTAAATCTTCTTGTTAAATATAACACGATTTAAAAACATTTTTTCTATAGGACAAGATATGTAAAAAATGGTAGTCTAAAGAATATTGAAACGAGAATCCCAATAAGTACTGATGTACTTACCGTAAGTGAGGAGAAGGCAGATTACTGTCCACCCTCTGACTTTGGTAGCCATGGTCGATACTACCTGCCTCTTAACATGCCTAAATCTATCAAAGAATTTGACACATCGACTGCATATTCTAAGTAGGGTTGACAATGGGTAGTTTATTTCACTTTGACGAAAATTTGATATATAAGGCTGAGTATTGATACATTCTATCATGCATGCATAATTCAGGATTTAAAGCCCCTTTCCATTTTATGCCTGTGTGTGCAGTGATACCTGATGAAATCGGTTTTATGGAAAATAAGAAAGGTTAAGTGTCCATTTCAGTTCTTTTCAGAGTTCTATTTCAGATATTGATCTGATAAGGGTCGCTTTAGTTTTAAAATAAATAAAAAAAAAAAAAAAACCTTATTTTTTTTCTAAATTTAAGACGATAAAATCAATTTGCATAACCTTTCGCTCTTGCGATGTTATTAATTTACAGAACAGCTTCGGCAATATAAAGCAATCTTTCTGATAAAGTTTGTTTCCTTTTATAAGTTTTTTTAGTTTTCGGTCGACTTTGGGACGTGTAAAATTGTAAAGCTGAACCTTGCACAGTTATCAGTAAATGAACAGAGAACGACGACCTGGTCACCTGCGGGCGTTCGTCAGGTGAAGGAAATAAACAGAAGGAAAATCAATATATTTTCATTTATAAAATTTGTTCGATTACTCATAATATGAGTATACATGTACAGAGTTTACATATTAATTGTTGATATAAAGTAAAAAAAAAAATTATACAATAATGCTTTATGGTAATAACTTTAGGTGAATAATGAAAATATACATTCATGTCTTGTAATTTAAAGAATCCCATATACAAATAAATCCACAACACACGTCTGAAAATTCTACAATAACAGTAAAAAGCATATAAATTCGGACATATTTGTTCCAAATGTATGCATTTAATTTTCTCTCATTTAATTACACATGTGATTACAAAAAAATCATAAAAATTGCTTAACTGCAAAAATTGCACAATCAGATAAACAAATAACTTATGATGTCATGATTTTTTGAATCTTCAAATGAAAATTTTACCCTGACTTTCCCTTGCAAACGCATGAATGATGTGTACAAATAAAATGAGAGCACCATATGTATTGTAATGCTGATAATAACAATAGTTGCCATTAAGATAAATTCTATTTAATTCTTCATTCAATCGAGTTTTGTGACGTGAAATATTTTCTCCATCAGTATGATATACTGGTTGAATGAGAATATTTTCCAAGGCAAACACCTTTGATCATGATGTAAATGCGTACTGTTAATTCAAATGGAGTCAATGTACTACTAGCATCTTATATATCACTGAACAGAGTACATTACTATTGAAGCTGCTAAGGTTCTGGGGTTCAGAACAAATTCAACAACTCAGTTCTATTAACTTTCGCAATTACTACTTGCTAGAAATAAATATCAGGTCCGTTTTGAGTGCCTTTATTGACAACAGCGTACTTTGGAATATTTCCACTCGCCCGGTAATCTTTCACATTATATCTAACAAATGGTCCTTCTGTTAAGTTGTGGGGTTGTACGTGGGATTCTACATCATCTATGGTAGTGTTTGATAAAACAATACCATCTATTTCAATTTCCTCGGGAATTTTCGTAAACTCTGCATTAATGTCAGGTCCCTCGTCATAAGCATCATAACCAAAGTTTGTTTCTCCCATGGATGGATATTTATCAATGGAGATGTTCTCATTATCTTTAGGATACTTTATCTCTCGGCTTCTGGAATACAAAGAAAATACAATCTGAGGCAAATGTTTGGAGTTCTTAATAAGTTAAATATAGATAATCAAGACTTCGACGAAAACTCATCGTGTCAGGTGTGTAAATTTTTAATATTCGGCGTATTTGAAATTTCTCAAACATTTATACCTACCTTTGGCATTTGATGAAGGCAAAAACCAATACAACGAGAAGTATTATTCCAAGTAATATTGCTGGAATTATTCCACTCCCTAAAAATTTAAAACGTTCATAAGATAACAAAGATATTTTTAAATATTTGTACAATTATGGCTCTCTCTATTATTTACCCTATTACGTAATGAAAGGTTTCGAGAGAACTGCAAGCACAAAATGCAGTGAAATGTTTTATCTCCTGTCGTTATCCTTTTATTTTCACACTTTTATCAATTGTTTAGCATACTCTTTAACTTCTCTGAAATGTTTGGTTGTCTGTAAATCTGTGATTAATAATTGAGATTATATCAGTCAATGTCTTCATTTACATAGAAGAATTTTTGAAATGTTAATATTATATCCATACGTACATGGAGTCCCCCGCTCCGGAAGGGGTTTACTAGTTGTTACAAATGGCGTCGTTCTCTTTGTAGTGGTACTCTGGATACCGTCGGTAGATGTCAATATTGCTGATGATGACGTTGACGTCACTGGTTGTTTTGACACCTGCTCAGTAGCTGTTGAGGTCAAGTTTTGCGTTGTTACAGACTTTGAAGTTTGAGATCGAGCTGTTGTCGAGTCTGCCACGTCTTTCGTTGTTGTGAGAGCTGGGGTTTGAGTGGGAGCAGTTGATGATTCTATGACGTTATTTCCAGTGGTGGACTCTGGCCTATCCTTAGTTACGTCATTGTCAGTGGTCTTGTCTTCAGTGGTTGTATCTATTTCTGTGGTAAGACCACTAGTGACAATATTTGATGTAGTGGTTAAAATTTCAGATGTGGTCACTGTCTGGAATGAAGATGAAGTTGTCACAGTGTCTATTGAAGTAGCTGCCGTTGTCATTAAAGCTCCAGTTGTTGCTGCCTGGGATGACGCGGGTAAGGTTTGAGAAGCTGTTGTTGAGAGTGATGAGGTGCTTTCTTCTGTTGGAACTGACGATTGAGTTGATGTTGATAGACTTTGTGAGGCGGTTGATGTTGTGGTTGTAATTTGTGCTGTTGTTATAGGTGATGACAGACTTGTGTCCGTGGTTGTCTGACTTCCAGTTGTCAGGGAAGATGAAGAAGTCTCTTCCTGCTCGGTTGTTGGAGGAAATAGTGTTGTTGTTGAAGAAGGTAAAGTGTCTCCTTCACAAGAGATGTTTAGCATGGCAGATGAATCAGCTTTAAAAACATAAAAAATATCTTCAGTGCAGTTCACAAGTATATATATTACCATAACTTGTCAATATGTATTAAAGCCTTATCATTATTTAAAGTGAAGTATATAGATTTGAGAAGTGAAGCATATAGACGTGTTTTCATATTGTATTTTATGTTATAACTTTAATAAATGAAGCACAGGTCTCATACAAATGTTTTAGCCGTTTCATTGAAAAGATTTTGTGGAATTCTAATGTTTACCTGATTCAACAGATATACAGTAACTTGTGTCGGAGGTTAGCCGTGGATCCTCTAGATTAATTTTAACATCTGACCCATTAATTTGAAGCTGCTTGTCAGTCACAAAACAGTTCATTGAAAAACTTGTACCATCAGCTTGAACTATTACAGAACTCCCACACCCTTTCTCAGGATGGACGCCGTTGTAGTTTGTGAAGTTCAGTGTATTAGGTTTATCACTGGACACTGTACATAGACAGGTTGTGGTACTAGATTCTTTGGCTCTGTAAGCGTCTATGACGACGTGACGCCCTAATATCTGGTTGTTGTAACATAAAAGGGCAACTGGAAAATACGTAAACATTTATGTCAAAATCAATGGGGAAAATATTTGTTTTATCAGTAGTTAATTTAATTTTAGTTATAACAAGTCATTTGAATGAATAAAAAAAATTATGTAATATCGTGTAACAAGTTGGTTAGTCACATATTTAGGTCTTTTAAAATATGCTCAATCAATTTGAAGCCAATTTTAGAGGAAAAATTGTGTTATTGTCTACACTGAAATTAAATTATATATATATATGAGAATGAGGCTTATTTGTACCTATGTTGTACGATACAATATAACTTAGGCCAGTTCATGCGGCGAAGCGGTTTATAAAGCGTAAACTGATCCTAGTTAGGTATAGGTTCAAATAAGCTTCATTCCTTAAATGTTTGGAAGCTCCATCAAATCAAAATAAAAGTTTGCATTTTACCTGGAATTGAGTTTGTCTTTGCCATATTATAACAGGGGGAGTAACTCCTCGCAAAGCATAAAATTAGAAATTTTGATGTTATTTTAAGATCTTGTTTACAGTGTGCTTTATTCATTTCTACATGTGCAGTTTTCTTTTAGTAATGCATTTGTTGTTATATTTCTATGATTTGCAGAGAGGATGGTTATGAAATTATTAATTGCATAACTTTTATTTGATTTTTTTTTAAAAAAAGCACATCAGAACATCCGTGTACAGATGAATATTATTAAACAATAATTATTTAGATTACTTTGCAAATATTAATGGTACATGAACAATGTAATTCAATCTGTATGCACAAATCTATTAAAGTGACGCATGCTAGTAACTTCGATTCTAAACATTTTAGGCCTAGATCAATTAATGTTTTAGTCTTGAAATTTAGATTTTTTTTTTTTTGCAGTGAATGATGAAAATATTTCCTCAAATGACTTGTTCTACGTATACTTTATTAGCTATGTCATCTTTCTTGATATAGTATATATGTAGAATGTACAAATTTTATTTGAAAAAAATTGTAACGGCTTTTCATAATTTGTATCCTTCTGAGATATCTTATACGAGTACATGTATGTACACCATCTCACTCATTTGCCGAATGTGGACACCAAAATAATACGGGCTTCATTTTAAGCTAACAACGGGATGGGCAAGAGACGGTTGAGAAGAAGAAAACAGAATTTTTAGGGTGAAGATAGATAGGTATACGTACATGTAAATAGATTGTTTTTCTTTCTTTTCTTAAATATCCTTAGGAAACACGACTCTCCTTATCCAAATGGACATTATTTATGTACGATGTGTTTAATTTTTTTACTTCATTGATGTTTTTAAAGGAATGGATTGTTTTGATAAATACATGTATGTGTATATAAAAAGAGTGATGGATTTGTAAATATAATGTAGAAATTCCTGCTTGAAAGACAAGAAAATTTAATGCATGGGTAACATGAGAGTAAATGGATCGTCAGTTTATTCACACAAAACTGTAATATAAACCCACAAAATTTATTGAAATCCTTGACACAGACATAAAAAATATGTTACTCATATCTTTAATTTATTCAGTATTCGTCTATAAACCTTATTTTCAGAGATACTTAATACAAAGGATTGAATGTTTTATAAAAAGCAATAAATAAGGAAGTACGTTTTTTTGTCCGTCGATAAATATTATTCCTATGCTTTATACAGGATCCTTATTTATACCTGTGTTTGGCCGACATTAAATTTTATACCCAGCTGATAGTCAATAATTACAACAGATGGTACGGTAATCTTGAATAAGGATTACATCGATTTTAGGCTCGTCCTTCTCTGCATTGTCGTTTGTTTATCTTGATTTACATTTTAAGTCCAAAAACATTACATCTTAAACCCAAATAGCAGCAAAAATTATTTGAAATTATTGTAAATGTCATCAAGCCGATTAGTACGCTCTTCTTTTTTTTTTCTGAAAAAAGCATTATTGAAATATACCTCAAAAATGATAATTTAAATATATCACTGGGGATGTACATGTATTATCTATAAAATGACACTTTAGACGAATCGAAATTGAATTATATTAAAAACGCTAAATTGAGTACGTTTTGTTTCATGAGTACACGCACATACACACGCAGCAAAAAACCCAAAATATTATGTATACAAAATAAGAGACAAGTTTTCACTTTTTTTCTGATATTTGATATTGGCTATTTTTTCCCTTAATGGGACGATATGTGTAAGTTGATCAAGTGGTTAACGAAATTAAAAATACAACAAACCTGCAAATATTAATACAGTACTTATGATCCATAATTCCTGGTTTCCTCGGTTGCGCCATGGTCCGTGGATAAAATAGTTTAGTAGGGTAGCCGCCCTGTGTCGTGTCATCACAAATTTTACGTTCTTTTTGAAACTTAATCGTTTCTCGGCCACACCGCTCCTAAGTTTTCGGTATTTCAGTTATTTCATTTCCTTTTGATACGGAGATGAAAACAATAAACTTCTTCCGTAAATAAAATTTTGGTACTAAATTCTCATCTCATTACACATTTAAAAGTTTCTATACAGAGAAATTTAAAACAACCCGTGACCGTGGTTTTATTAGTAAGTTAAATGTAAGGTCATTAGACATTAAGGGAGAAGTATGGTGTATAACTGATATCAGACAGGCAACAGATCGGAGGGAAGCCGGCCATGTCATTTTTTAACAATGGCAGCATGTTACTTTAACGAATGAGTGAACACAGAAAAATCGAAGAGATAATAAATTAACTTTTATGTCGCTCTAAACCCATTACAGTGTATATGTACATAAAGAAAGGGCGTCGCCCTACCCCCATAAAACATTTACCGTTATTGCAAAAAAAGTTTACAAACATAAAACGAGAATTATGTCCCTATTTACCGTTATTGCAACAATTTCCTCCTATAAAGTTAGTCTAAGTTTCAACATGTTCAATTTTTTCTCGCTTATAAAAAGAAAATGTCACATGCCTTTTATTCAACTTCTAAATTTAACTTAATTTTCAAAAAAAAATTATATACATAAAAAGATACTAGCAATAAATTAGCTGATCATAATCAAGAAAAAAAAACCAATTAACTTTGACAAGTTTAAAAGTTTTTATAGTCCTACATGCTAAAATGAACTACATGTATAATCTAACGAACTCAAGATTGAGGCAGAAAAAATTTCTTCGAGTTATCTTTCTTGGACGTGATTTCCAATCTTTATTGAGACATTCACGGGAAATATTGATCCAGATATCTCGGAAATGTAAGAACTCAATTCCAGGTTACATTTTACTGATAATTTTTATCCTGACTAACAATCACATGAACTGTATGACATTTATTGGTTGATGGAATCATTAATTACAAAGAAGTCCCAGAAAATTAAATAATAACGATTCCTGATCTTACCATGCACATCAAACATGTCCCAAGGTTGTAGGGAGGTTATGCATTTGAGATCGATGGAAATTGTAAATTATGCGCCCGAATCGATAGATCCGGTGCGTATATTGTTTTTGTCCTGTCTGTCTGTTTGTTTGTTTGTTTGTCTGTAAACTTTAACCTTCGCCATAACTTTTGAACCATGAAAGATAGAAACTTCATATTTGGTATACATACGCCACTAAGTAAGCTCTTTCAAATGACACTAAGGTAAATGGCATTGTGACCTTGACTGTGACCTTTATGCTAAAAATAGCTTTTTATCTGCAAACTTTAACCTTCGCCATAACTTTTGAACCATGAATATAGAGACTTCGTATTTGGTTTGCATACTCCACTAATTAAGCCCTTTCAAATGACATGAAGGTCAATGACCTTGTGACCTTTACTTTGACCTCTATCCTAAAAATAGTTTTTTCGTACCTTTGCCATAACTTTCGAACCATAGAAGATAGAGACTGCATATTTAGTATGCATACTCCACTAATTAATCTCTTTCAAATGACACCAAGGTCAATGACCTTGTGACCTTGACTGTGACCTTTATGCTAAAATAGTTTTTTTCGTACCTTTGCCATAACTTTTGAACCACAAGAGATATAGAGACTTCATATTTGGTATCCATACTTTACTAATCAATTTCTTTCAAATAATACCAAGGTCAATGACCATGACTGTGACATATAGGCTAAAAAAGCTTTTTTTTTTAATAATTTGTTGCCGCCGGGCGCATAGCGTTTCACAAACACATCTTGTTTCATTATTTTTTTTAAAGATACATTACATGCACATGTCCTCATGAATCTTCGGAAATTAAATTCACTTCTTAAGTAAACTTGCATATACATGTAATTGTTTTAATAAATGAATCAAAATCATTTAAATCTATAAACAATTCAAAAAGATAATGATTTTACTATTAGATCTTACATGCTATAAATCCTAAATTGAAATGAATGAAAGAAAAACTCACATTAATGTGGTCTTATTAAAATTAAAATGGATAAAACATATAATAACATTCAGTATGATATGAAATTTCTTTATAATATCTATTTTGAAACCTACACTGTAGTCAGTTTTTACACTTTACTTTGACACTGCTAGGCAAAATACACAATACAAACTACATGTAAATAAATATATTAATTTTCGATTAAACTAAACCTCTGTATCATATTTGTCAACACGATGAGGCGCTATTTTAGGGCCGACAACATCCGAAATTAAATATTAAGCAATGCTTATATAATTCTGTTTACTTGTTGAGAGCATTTTACACTTCAGAAACAAATATACCTATATATAAAATTAAACTTGATACAAACCGGTTTTCATTATAAATTGTAGAATAAACATTTTCAAATGTAAAAATATAATTACATCCTTATGAAAAAAATTAATGGTTGCATGAACACTTAATGGCCTGGTTCAAAATAAAACATCAACTTCACTTGCTTCAAAGAAAAGACAAACAAATTGTTCCACCATTTACTCAATACACTACGTCTGCCTCTGTGGTTTGAAGGTTCTGGTTTGCTGATTTATCTACTTGTGAATACACGGCATCTGACGATAATGGCTGATTAATCTGGTTTGCTGATTTATCTACCTGAGAATACAATACGTCAGTGACTGGTATGTTTTCTTTTGCAGATTTATCAACCATGGCGTACATTGGAGCATCATTGTTGATTGGTTGTCGTACATTATGACGTATATAAGTTCCTTCACTTAGATTGGTTGATACAGACACATTATCTCTGACGTCATCAATCACGATCGTGTTTATTTCCGTCGATTTAGTGGACGTTGAGATTTTACTGGTCATTCCTGGGCCAGCATAATAGTCAGGAGAGTATGGTGAATTTGCTTTGTTTTTAAATGCATATGAATCATTCCCATGAGTATACGTGTTATTGCGTTTTTTCCTGTGGAATACAAAAAATTCAGTCTATGATATTATTATGCAATTGTATAGTTTGAGAAGTTGTGTTCCCTTTCTCAAATGATATTTGCAATGGTAACATCTTAAAAAAACACTGTTAAACTAAGGGTGTTATTTTGGCCCCACCAAAAGCTTAGGAGTTCTTAATAAAGAAACAAACTATATTATTATTTCCATGTTAAAATGTACATGTATATAATACATAAAATACAAATTGTAGAATTACGAGATTTCATTATCAGTACCTTTGGCTGTAACAGATTGCTAAAATTATGGCAACAACAACGATTACACCAGCTCCGATCACCGGAATAATGTAACTCCCTGTAAATAAAGAAAAGAGAAAATTAATTAAGGTTTCGTCAAAGGTCAACATGTCTAAAAAATTATTTTTACAATAGCTCCAAAACTATGTGTGGTATAAAGTCAAAACGTTTACAGTTTATAAATATATCATTGATCAATAGATAGAAAGTATCACTTGATAACAAATGTTTTAAAAAAGATTTTTTGGAGAAAAATTGTATCAGAAAATGTGCATATTTTTAAAAAATGCACCTGCTTAATTCATTCTGGCCTTTTTGTGAAAACCATCATTGCAGAAATAATATATGTTTATCATTGAAGGGCAAGTAGGACGTGAATGGTCTCTGAAAGGCTGTTATTGAAAGCATGACATGTATAAAGTCAAGACCCCTATAGAATCCGCCATTTGCAATGTACTTTCACTTTCAAGTCTTAACATTTGGACAAAATAAACAGGGAAAACAACTTTCCAGAGTCCAACTTGCCCTTCATTAATAAACATATTTTGTTTCTGCAATGATGGTTTTCATTCAGAGGAATTAATATGGTGTATTTTTTGAAAATATATGCATTTTTAAGAAGAATTTTTCTCAATTATTATTTTTTCCAAGTATTTTTTTTATCAAGTGATACTTTCTATCTGTTAATCAATGAAAAATTGATAAACTGTAAAAGTTTTAACTTTATACCTCATATAGTTTTGGGGCTATTGTAAAAATAAATTTTTGAATATGTTGACCTTTGACGAAACCTTAAGTACATGTATACATGTATATCAATTGCAAGTTTTTAATTTTCCTTCTCATAGGCAGTTTTGAGTTTGTTAGTATACAAAGCTTACATTACATGTTCGGCTTTATTATTATGCTCTAGCTGTATAATTATATGTAATTAATTGATAACATTTCAGTTTCTTTTCCGTAGATCTAAGACCGTACGGTACATCTATAAACAGTATAAGTTGAGCATAATTTCATTTTGAATAACTATTAAATAAATAATTTCAAAAAATAAATCTTAACTAATCAGTATGCATCTCACCAAAATGACTCTTTTTTTTATCTTTATTCAATCGGCGTTTAGCAAAGCCCTTGCATATTGGACAACCTTTTCCCGACTGGTTGATGGGCAAAACTTCACACCTACAGTATGCGACTTATAAACCAGTAGTAAATGTGTCTCTACTGAAATTAAATGTTAACACCAACGACTAAATATATTTCTTTGTTTAAATCTATATAAGGGTTTGCATAGAGTTGAATACCTACCGTATATATATATAAAGATTAGTGGTTAAAAAGGTATTAATAATATGTAAAAGTTGTAAATAAGTGTACTGTAATTTGATTGCACGGCGGTTTGTCAAGTCTCCTGCCTATTACTAGCGAATACGCAGTTACCCGTTGTCATGTACATTTTGTTAATTTTCAGCTTATCAGTATCCAGGAATATGGTCAACGAACACAACTGATGAAAAAAAAAAAAACGAAGGATAGCTCAAAATCTTACGCAATGTGAAAAGAATCAGTTTGGCGAGAGGCATACCATAGAAGATCATGCATTGTTGTCTTACATTCAGAAGTCGAGGCAACTGACTCTCCTGTATTAGCTTCTTTCGTCGTTGTTAAACCAGATGTACGCTTAGTTGTGGACTGTGTTGTTTTCTCTGCTGTAGTCTGTTTCTGTGTGGTCGTAGATTGTGTTGATACTTGTGGAGATGTGGTTGTACTACTTGTTGTTGTTACTGTTGAAGTTGACGTTGGTTTTGTTGTCGTTGACGTTGGTTTCGTTGTCGTTGACGTTGGTTTTGTTGTCGAGGTTGATGATGTAGTCGCTGTAGTTGTTGTTGGAGCTAATGTTGTTGTTGTTGTAGCTAATGTTGTCGTTGTAGGTCTGGCAGTAGTTGTTGATGTTGTGCTCTGTGTTGTTGTTGTGGTTGTTGTCCTCGGTAAGGTCGTAGTTGTTGTGCTTTGTGTTGTAGAAGTTGATGACGACATGCCGGGAATGTCTCCCTCACAGTTCAAACTAAGTGTTGCGTCTGCGTTGTCTTCATTGAAATCAGGTAAAATAATTTTTGAATACCTTTTTACCATTGTATAATTTGGAAGACGTGCATTCTTAAATCTAATACAGTATTGTTCATGCATTTTTTAAGTGCAAAGATAAATGGTTTTTTTTTCTAATCAAGAATCGCAGTGAAGGATATGGAGATAACAATGATCAGTATTCAATATCAATGTCCACAAAATTAAATTCAATATTCTATGAAAAAAATACAAATGTAATCAGTAAAAAAAAAAGAAAAGAAAATTTGTTTTTACCTGGCGATAACATTATACAATAGTTGGCATCGTATGAATAGGGTGGTTTTTCAAAGGAGAATGACATTGTTTCTTGAGGAGTTATGCTGAGACCTCCACCAATAAAACAATTCATAGAAATTCCGGACTCCGTAGAAGTTCTGACAACAATACTGCTGGAACAGAACTGTGAAGTGGGTTGTAGTTGATTTAATGGTGCAAAGTTGACTTTTGTACTGTGTGTCGTAGTAACAGTACATTTACAAACTGATACGGAGGAGTGATGTGCATCGAAGGCGTTCAGTACAACTCTATTTCCAGTTCCTGATGTACTGTAACAAAGGGATGCTCCTGTATATCAAAATTAAAAAAATACTTAGTGATATAAAAAAGCTACATTGGAACATTAATATATACAAAGTTAACATATCTGTATTAGATTTATTTATAAACCCTGTAAGACAAACAATTCTATTATGGTTTAGATTAATTACCAGGTAAAGAATACTGTGTCATGGCCATCTGGCATGCTGTCTCACCTTTAACAGGGCCTGCAAATTTAATAAATAATTATTGAATACATGACTTCCTTCAAAGATGATTAATCTCTAAATATTGTACCAAACATGACTGCATTGGTAAGGGTAAGCATATACATGTAGCAGTTTCCTCAAATCAATGCCATTCGGCCCATTTACTCAAATCAAAGACATTGATTGACTGCGTTTGTAGTGATGTTAGATTAATGGTTTTATATTTGTTTATTAATAATATACAAATGGGGTACGCAAGTTTTCGAATATTTTTTTTTTAAAGTTATGATTATTAGTAGCTTTATTTATGGTCACTTTTTTTTATTACATGTGCTATTCCAGATGACATCATGTGTTGATGCATTCCTCCTTCCTTTCATTCTTCGTTAGAGATCAGCTGATGTATACAATACTGCTTGCTTTCAGGTCTATTATGAATGCTGTAGTCAATGACTGATATCTGATATTGTAATTATTAATTAAAGCAAGATTCACACGTCCTACTCTATGATTTAAGATTGCTCCATCATAGTAAAAATGGCAAATGGAGGAAGATGTCATGTTTAACCTATTTCTATAAAGACCCTTTCCCCGTCTGAAATTTATTATACACGGGCTATTTGTTAAGTCAGGTAATTTCCGATTTATCTGATACAGGAGGCGTCAAGTCATTGATGGCTTTATTTCCAATCACCCAGCCGTAGTCAGAAATTCTTGTTAATGTGCTGAAAACACCCTAGGCCACATGTAAAGGTCATATACATGTATAAAAAAGTTAACATTTTTGTCAAGTTGAAAATAAATATGCTTTATTCAATGAAGTGACTTTGAAATTCATTAGCGTCTTCATTTTTTTTAAATTAAGCTTATTTTATGTTATTGTTCTGTACTATCAACTTCTTTATGATTCATCTATAAAATCTATAAACTATTTAAAATTTTGTCATTTTGGATTTTGAAATACTTGGCACTCTAAAAGATTGGTTGTTAAAACAAATCCATCTAAGAACAAATTGTCAGCATATTTGAATACAAAACAGCTTTATCATCACATCTTTGAAAATCATTCAAGTTGGTAATGCAGGTACATGATTACAGTTGAGGAGACCCGGTAGTTTAATTCATACATGTATCTCAAATTCAGAAGAAAAATATTAAAAATAATTAACACAAAATCACAATCTTACCTAGGAAAGTAAACAGGATCCAAAACATACAAAAAATCATGTCTGTCGTCCGCCGATTAAAGAATGGGACATACCCGCCATTCGTCATACTGACCGCGCTGACAAAGTGGTTCTTGGGATGAAAGACTTTTCCGTCAACAAGTTAACTTAAGGTCCGACACTTTAAATTTAATCTCAGGCGATTGAAAAAATTAATAAAGACTCTTTAAGTTTCGGTTTATCCTTGGACAATTGTTTGGTTCTAAACGCACACCCATTTCTGCAGAATTAAATGCCCCGTAAACGGCACTTGCAGTAATTGAGTTCTGACAAAGAATTTCTTTTTATAGAAAATTACTCGAAAACCAGTTTGTAATCCAAAGTAAATTTAACCAATGGAATAGGATGTAAACATTGCATGGTGAAATGATTTCATCAAATAAAAGTAAAATGCTTTAATGTGTGAAGATACTAGGTATATCGCGTTTAAGGTAGACTTCAAATATCTTTATTGTTGATCAGAATCTACATGCATTACTTAGGGTTAATTAAAGGGTTTAATTAATAACCCGTCCGTCTTCACACAAGACTTCCGGGATTTGGGAATTAAAAGAAGGGAGTCTTGTGATTATATTTCGTGATGTACAGTGTATAAACCTGTACTTTGTATAAGTTTCTCTTATTGACTTTAACCCAGCCAGCCAATAAGGAAGTATAAATTTTAATTCAAGAATTCTATTGAACCAAAATCAAAAGGTGTGACATATTAGAGTATACCCTTAAACACAAAGAAACTAAATGTATATTTAATGCACATAGTGTATTGAATAATTAAATACGTATAGGTTAATCAGAAGGAATACATACATAAAGCACATGTACATGCATGTAGGTGTGTGAGGCTGTGTTGCTAGAAAAAAATACACTGTATGTACAAACCGGTACGTACAGTACAATGAGTACTTGTACCTTCAAAATGTTAATATTATTTTAGTTTCACTTATTTCGACGCAAAAAAAAATCAAAATGATGTTACAAGATCAAAAAATAGTTCAAGACATGTATCTTACGTGTATTTGTATTGTATTAAAATGTTTTTGCACTTCTACTTTACTGGTCCGCGTATTTTGTCTGAATTATCATTAACCAATATACATGTATAACCAATGTACCAAATAGAAGTTTTCATTTTTATTTATTTGATAAATCATCAATGCAACTTAAGATTAAACCTTATAATTAAATAATGATTATCTTCGGTTAAAAGTTTGCACTGATCCTGATGCACTATGGCCACACATGCTGTGAAAACAAGTGGCAAAAGAAAAGAAATCCTCATTTTAATGATATTTATCAATATTTTTATGCTTCAGAGGACATGGCATGCAATATCTGCAAATTACTTATTACGTTTGATTACTTATTTAATATTTAAGTGAAAAGGAAATTCAAATTCCTTTATCCCTGACAAACCAGGGACATAATCGGGAGTGACATCTTCCATATGCACACTGGCTAAAGATGGGCACTAGTTTTTTTTTTTTTTTTTTTTTTTTTTTTTTGAGGGGTGGGGATATTCTTCCCCAGATAAATATGTCTGAGAAATGTGTACAAATATCTTTTTAAAAAATTGAATCGTTTTATTTACATGTGTAAGATAAATAAAACACCAAGGAACTAATTAGATGATAGTCCGAATAATTCTGATGTTTTCCAGGATTTGTTAATACGATTTTGATATTTAACGTGCCAGGAAAACTGTTTTCCTAGCAAAAAATCGTAAAAGTTTCTGGAAAACATTGGATATTTTCAGACTAGCTGATGAAAGATCTTGTTTGCAATCCATAAAATAATTTTGTTCAAAACATTTCAACAATTAATATAAAGAAACCTAATCTTCTTCTTATCTTGTTTAAATACATTAATTTTCCCTTTTCTTTTTATTTTTCAGAAAAGTCCTTAAAACACATACCTCAGAAAAACATCGATATCTCTAGTGTTGAAACTGCAGCTAATTAGTTCGAAGAGGAATAACTCTAAAATTTTACCTTTGCTTCTGCCTGCATGGCAGAGTAACTCTCTTTGTTTTGGATCAAACTAACACCGTAACATACATTCATGTGTCTGTTCAGAAATTCTATGGAAAACGTTGCCTTTTTGTTTGCTCTTTCATATAATACAAACATTAAAAAAAATATTAATTTACCTTAGTAGCCTATTAACACAAAATACTAAAATAAAATTCATTGACCTTACTTTCACTCGACTTCAGATACACGGTACATACTACATAGTATGTACATGTATAACCGCTATATACATGTATTTAAGTATCAATATTTGCATATCCACTGCTCTCTCCCACTATGAACATGTAGCCATCAACTGCGTTCATAGCACTATAGACGCAAATGGCTTATTACACTCGTGTAAAACAACCTCTCCTTTACGTAATAAAAAAGTGTTGAGAAGTATATATATGAAATGTTTCGTTAAAGGAATAAAAATAAGTTTTTAATAATATTTTTTGGAAAAAAAGAAATTCAGAACAATTTAAAATTGCTGATTGATATCTTTAAAAATTTAATTTTGGTCAATGTATTTAATTGTAATATAAAACTTTTTAAAAATTGAAGACAACTCCATATTTTTATTTTTTCTTATCATATTTTTGCATATTTGTACAAAGAACGATAACTCTTCACACTTGGGTTATGAAACATTCAGAAAGAGCAGCATATGTCTATTTCAAGAACGATTTCAGCTTTTAAAATTGAATAGAAAAAACTTTAAAAATCATAGAAAAGCATTCTGGAGTTATAATCATTATTAAAGCAATCTCTTTTTTTTTAACATAAGGTTAAATTATTGATTTTTGTCAGAGGGTTTCAATAACGTTGATCGATGACGTCACAACTGAATCAAAACAAAAATTAGGAGATGGGTGCAGCTTGTATCCAGATAACTGTGTTTAAGAGGCAAATACTCTATAAATTGTTTGTGATTATTAGAGAAAAGGTGCAATGATCAGATATACTAATTTTATAGCCGTTTGTTTTTCTTTACTGAAGACAACAAGCCACATCCATATGTAAGCCAGGATTTCCTCTGATATTCTTGACAACATCAAAGAATGCAAATATAAGTAATAAACAACGATTATTTAGTGAACATGGCATTATGAATAGCAATAGCTCTGCTGGCATATTTTCCATGATGCGCTAGCGCGCATCATGGAATATGCCAGCAGAGCAATTGCTATTCATAACGCCATGTTCACTAAATAACGTTGTGTATTTCTTAAATATTACAATATTTGAAAGTTATATCGTCCAACATTTATTATTAATAGGGTCAAGTGCAGCCAGTTGACAAAGTTGATACACTGCATTACTACATTGTATATTTTACAGAAAATAAATTATACATATAACACTAATAATATTTATTTAGTGGTCCGCGTTGCGCAGTGGCAAGAGCGTATGCTCGAGAGTTGCAAAGAAAGGAGTTGATCCTTAGGTCTCGGGTTGAAATACATGTACCACTGTGAGACGTGGAGACAGGTCCTATGTATGAGACCGCATATTATAATGACAGATTTCAGTTAAGGACATACGCAAGGTACCTAACCTACCGATAATTTTTCAAGATATTCTTAATTTAACATTATAGTGCTATCAGATGTTCACAGACAAAAAATCAGCATGCATTACCAGGGGTTTTTGGAAGATATCATATGAACATTTTTGCATCATTCAAAGAAAAATATACAAAAATTACAACACATCAATTCCAGTTTTTTTTCCCCATCAAAATTTGTTTTAGAAGAGGTGTACAAATCCATACATAGACATTAAAAGTATTGCACACAGGACCTTCATTTAGTGGAACTCTTCAACTCCAGGGAAGAACCCAATAATGTTTAAACTAAGTTGCATATGACCATAACTGGAAGTAATACATGCGATTTGATTGCATGACGGTTTGTCAAGGATACTGAATAATACCTAACTACACGTTTTCATGCTGTTTATTTTAAACTAGTCAACATCCAGAAAGATGGCCAATGAACGAAAATGATAGGAACAAGTTGCTTTAAAAAAAGGACTGCAATACGTGAACCAATATGCACGTGTCTCTAACCGAAATTCAATCAGAGCAGAACATTTCTAGGTTAGTGAATATTCATGTAGGATCGTTCATATTTCTACAATGATTTGCCTACTTTGACTGATAGTACTTTCAAAGCAAAATTTTTAAATTTTATCTCCGATTAGCATAGAGTTTTGTCATTTTTAGAAATCGGATGTAACCCATAACGGCTGCATGCATGGAACCTGACATCTGTTCTGGATTTATACGGAATAAAATAGATCTGATGGTACACGTGTGGCACAGCTCTGTAGTACGCATATTTTTGTTTTCGGAGATGCCCCTCTCCCCAACATGGAAAACGTCACTATAGGCTTCTATCAATCTGTATTTGGATTGCTGTATATCAAATTCTTTTGCATGCCTTGGTACACAAAACTAATACCACTGAAGACTTGTGTGTTTAAAAGATGAAACAAGTCGTTAAATGACTTTTTCAATTCAAGTTGTTGAGTTCTCTATGTACTGCAAGTTCTTCCTACCTTTTGAAATGCTCTGTGCCATGGAATCAATGCTTAGTTTGTGTATAAAAGTATATGTATACAGGTGTCTCATTATATCGCGGTACTTAAATCTTTTGCATAAAAAAGTGTAATTTGATTTTTTAAATTTAACTTTCATCAAATGATATTAATAAAGCAAACTATGGCCTAACTTTTTAGTATCAAATTATTTCCCAAGCTTGCATCGTCTAAGTTGTAGTCTATTTTTAAAACAGGAAGTCTCATTTACCTCCTAAATTGGAGATTCTCATAATATCGCGGTATGGGAAAACATGGAAACTTGAGGTTGACATGGACTACAATTTTTATTTTTTTATTTTACCATGTAATTTTACATAAGATAATAAACAATTATACAAACTAAAGACTTTCAAAACATGAACTTTATATGGATTTTACTATATTATAAACTCATCGGGCTAAAAATAATAAAAACGGAGATCGATTTCTGTAAAATTACGTTTTATTTGAATAATTTTTTTCCCGACGCATTTTCCATACCTTTTTAATCATCACAAAAATTTACATTTAGATGACAGACTGATATTGTTTTCAAGAAAAAGCATATGAGCTACGTATCTGATTTTTTGGAATATACCGCGATACAATGAAACCCGCGATATAATGAGAATCGAGTATATAAGAGAGAAATTTTGAGCCACCA